AGGGTAAATAACTCGTAAAATACTATAAAACCTGCGTAAAATAGCATAAAACCTGTTAAAATAGTGTCTTCGGAGTCGATTTTTACCCAAAATAGCAGTCGTCCCCACCTATTTGTTAAAGAAGACCCAAGCTGGATCATGATCGAGGTGTGTCGGATGCCATAGTGACAGTTCCCCGGATGACCGCATAACGCTAGGTTTTAGATGCGCCGTTCCTGTAGTTCCCCGGCGGGCTAAGGATGCGCCGCTCATGAACCAGACGAAAACTCACATCGTGAAGAGCTGCTGCGATCGAAAGACCATGTGCACGTTGACTAAATGCAGCAGCACATGCCAAACGGTCGGTAGCGCATCCACACGGGGGGTTACCACATACATACGCGGCTCATTACAGCGAGATATGTTGGCATCGCTGTTGGTCGCCTACTACGTACTCAGCGCATCAACCCTCGGATGCAGAGAGCACTGACTGTCTTACCGGATTCCCGAAATCCCAAAGCGGTGTAAGGAACCCATGCCTTTCTTCCCATGATACGAACGAACCTCAAAAGCATCCCTGGCGATACTCTGATTCCTCGGCCATGACATGCGAAAAACGTGATTGATCATCACCGACCATGACAAGCCGGGAATTTCTCGCGGCGGCGGAATAATGCTGGAGGTGGAAAAATGAGCGTTCCTGGAAGCCGGTGGGCGGGTGGGAGGTGGTGTGGGTGGTGGGCGAGCCAAAAAGAGAGCTGCGGAGGGACCGGCAACGGTAAACTTGGTGGGTTAAAAGTGATTGGGCAATTACCCACAAGGTACCAGACGCAAGTCTGGTCGTCCGCTAAAAGCTGCTGGTCTCTTTCAAGTTACATTAGGTACGTCGGAAATTGGAATAGACACATGTGTCTCCCTACATTAGTATCGACAGCCAGGAGCTGCTGTAGCAACCGGAATGAATTGATGGGCTCAAAGCACACCCTTCCCTTTTGCCCATGCCTGTTTGTACTTGTCGACTGCCGCGGTAGTCGTCGTTGCTCGATGCCATACGTTGTTCGTATGAGTGAGGTGAATGACCAAATGTTAAATGAGGGTACTCTTTTAGCTCGGCAGCTGATGGGCAAAGGATTGTGCGTGCTGCACAGGCCCTTGGGAATATTGACTCTTCTTTTTTTTTTTTTTTTTTTTCCCAGTGTTTCCACTGTCGAGGTAGGTAAAGTAATGGCGATGCCCAAACTCCACAATCTATGTGTGTGCTTACACTACCACCGCATCCCGATGGCTTGGAAACGATTGACCCATCTAAAATCCTGGAGCGGTCGACCAGGCGTTCGATCGCGGAGCTTCCCAATATGATCTCCTGCGAGGTCTAATAAGATAGATACCATGCAAAATAACATCACAATCCGTACACACTGATGAAACTTGCCCAGGCCGACAATAACGTGCCTCATCCGGGCTGCTGGACCAGTTTCCGAAAGATCGCCCTAACACAGTACATACGTACCACAAAGCCTACCTATAGAGTACATAGCCAGGGGAGGCAGCACAAAAAGGCTTGCCAAGCCCTACCAGGTAGAGGTAGGTACCGTTTCCGGCAATGCACTACGCTGCAGAACCGGCTTCTTCCAGCGGCCATTTCCCATCGCAGCTTAGTTGTCGGGATCCTGCGACGTCGGCTGCGCGGCCTGGGGGTTTAGGTACGCGTGCAATTTTGGGCGGAACAACTATCATCGTGCATCCAAGCAAGGCTCGATGCTATGGGTGCTACCCATGCCTGCTGCAAACCCAGGATGTGTATGAGAGGAGCCGAGATGGATGAATGGATGGATGGCGGGTGCAATGATATAATCAACCGCTGCATATAGAACTCGTCCATTGCTGTTACGCATAGCATCACGAGGAACATCCCTTCTCTTCTTCGTCGGTATTGCGTTGAGAACAAGTCGCTGGCCAGTTTGCTCCACAAGGTTTAGTTGGGCCATTTCTCTTATTACCACCTTTTCACTACTCTTAGAAGCAAAGCACGTCCCTTTCGTCGATGCGCTCGTCCCGAAGAAGAATCAGGCACCACCAAAAATCAAGGCTCAAGGCCAGAAGGTCCCCAGTATTCGGTATTATTACTCTCCAGTATTACCTGATCGAGTCCGACTGCCGACATAGAACACCACCCCCATTCCGTATATCCACCATTGTCGGATGCTAGCGACTCGTATTAGCAAACTCTAATAGCAGCACGACTACAATTCGATACAGCTCTTGCACCACGACGACGACAACGACGACAACAAGAAGGCCCCGGCCATTGTCCGCCCAAAGCCTGTGCAAATCCCACCCAGATTGTATTCATGTAACAAGTGTCGCACGACCATATCTGTCTACGTACACTTGCTTGCAAGGGGCCTGTTCAATTCTCCAGGATCGGTTCGGCGAGAAAAGTCTAATATCACATGTCTTTGCTGCTTCAACCGGCAACCTTAAAGCAGCTCGCGTCGAATCTAAACAAACTGGAACCTGTGCCTATTCTTCACCTAGCAAACCAGACACACGAGATCAAAATTTTGGGTGGTCGGTACTTGATATTCTTCTTGTCCCTCCCTCGGCACCAACAAGCAGATAACTCGGCATCTCCACTGCTGCTGGTTGACTGACACACGAAAAGAAGGGACGAAAGCTCCCGAGGTTCTGTCTCGTTTTGACGACCTTAGCTGCTAGGGCGGAGGAGACAGACTACGTACCACTTGGCACTCGCTCACTGTTTGGTGCCTGGCTTGCGGTCGTCTCGGGGCGTTTTTTTCCCCCCTTCCCTCTCGTGCTACTATATTATTACGTATTACCACTAAGATCGCCCCGGACCCATCGTGATGAATCTCGCGCACGACCAGTGGGTCTTCTAGAAGGAGTCTTTTAAGGATCTTGGACCTTGGCCAAGAACCCCAGGCTTGTCAATCAATAGCTTGCGTGTGTTGTTGCCCAACCAAATTCGGCGCGCAATCAAGCTGGATACTAGGTCCTCTTGGTCGGGCTGGGCTTGACCTAAGGAAACTAGGGCCTGGCGGGGCAGTTCCGGAACGTAGCCGGGGCTATTATTCACACCTGCCACTCCACCTGAAAAGCCCTTCGCGGCCAGGAACTTCCTGGTCGCTGCCGAGCAATAGGAAGAAAGGTTTTGACAAGCTGTGGACGGACCGTTTCTTTTGATTCTTATTAGGGTGGGATAGGAAGAGAGGGATAAAAAATCAAAGAGGGAAAATACGACGACGACAACGACGGAGGGAAAAAAAATCCAGGAACCATCGTTCCGGAAGAGCCTGGGCTGGAGAAAGAAGAAGAAAACCTCCCAAAAAGTAACGCATCATCTCACCTCTTCTCATATTGTTTGTTCGCTGGCTATTGCCGTCTCGCCCACCGCGAAAAGAAGAACGACGGACAACGAACGATACAATAACCGAAAACGAATTTCGACCTCTTGTCGCTACGACTAACCATTTGGCTGGCCTCATCCTTATCATTCTTTTCTACTTTCTGTCACTTTTTGACTTTGTTCACCGGTCCTCGTCAGACCTCCACCACACCCGCTCCCCGAGGGTTTCTTTCCGACGAATACAGACATTACTGCAGACACGTACGGAGGGGGGCATCCTTCTTGTCCTTGCTTACCTACATTCTACCATCCCAACCCCGAAATCCTCGACGCTCGACCAACCGCAGCAGCGCATTCCCGTCCCGTGGTCCAGCCTACACGTGCGACCATAATCGTGGCTTGATTCTACTTGCGGCACAACGAGGCTACCCGACGACACGCAGTCTCTTTGTTGCGTGGGACGTAGTACCTACCTCGAATATCGTCCCTTTTTTTTTTCCCACTCTCCCGCAAGCTATTGCGCCGATAACACACACCCACACCTATACGTCCAGATAAGGCTCGGGCGCAAAGTAGGAAGGCTGAAGGCTGAGCGGCCTCAGGGGGGATCAGATCGCGTCATTGCTTGTCTGTCTCGCTGACAGACGTCATGGCATCGATAGTGAGTGCCGATGTTTCATTAATATCCTCCCATTACCGTCTTGCTTCAAACTCGCTACATGCCTGTCACTCAATGTCATGCTGCTGCCCTTTGCCAAATCCCCCCCCAATCAGTCCAATCCAAATTCCCAGTCGCAATCGCAATCTCATCCCACGCTCGCCTCACCGCTTCCCAAGTTAGCTGGTCTGTCCGGGTTTGGTCTCAAAGGGTCTGGTCGTTTCGTTTGTGTGTTGCACCCCACGTCGACGCCGAAGCAGCCAGCGCATCCATCCACCCATCCATTGCCTGTCATTTCTCACATCCGGCCATCATGCCACTCGGCGGCAGAGAACAAGCTTCTTACGCCTGGCGCGCATTCTGCCCACTCGCGCATTATTAATTATTTCTTCCTCACGCGGTTCGGAGCGACGCGCGCACAGCCCGTCAGTGCCCATTCCTCTGCCGTATCGCATCACGTAGCGCGACCTGTCTCGGCTTCTACACGCTTCGTGTATCTTCTCGGGCAGCTTACAGAATAGGGCACGCGCTTGTCCTCTCTGCCTATCTGTCTGTCAGACACCTCGTCGTGGCATTGTCGCACCGTCACCAAAGTACCCTTCCAATGATCGCCCGCGATGCCACCCTGCGCTCACCTTATTCCAACCCCCTTGCACCAGTGACGTTCCCTTGGGCCTTTGTGTCTTAAATTACCACCCATCTTCTACTTCCCTTCCTCATTCGGTACTTGGGGTGGTTGTTTGCCCATATTAATCCTGCCCAAACAGCCTGCTTGGCCATCTTTTTTTTTTTTTTTTTTTTTTTTTGTCGCGTTGATTGCTCTTGCTAGAAATCTCATTTGCAAGTGAAACTCTGGCTTGCCCCTAAAGACCAAAACCATTTCGAATCAATGCGCCCCTTTTGCGCATTCACTCTACATTGTTTTTATTTGCATTCACATTTTTCCCATCATGATCTTGCCTTGACCACCATCTGGTCATTCCACCAACGCCCATCATGGTCGTAACCCAGAAAACGGCTCCGGCGCCTTCATTACTGACTTCGCATATTCAGCTTTGCCTGGCGCACTATTGCGATCTCCACGGACCAACGCCTCTTATGGTCACTGAAGGCCTGCCAGTGCCATGCTCCAGATGCTATGATGAGACAACAGAGTCCGAACGGCCGCAAACGAGTGCCGCCACTGGCGTGCATCCTACTGTCGTAGACGCCATGCGTAGGATGTCGTTGAACAGCAACCCACGACCATCGAGTACACCTGCAACAATTCCAGAGACACAACAAGCGCCGGCGCAGCACCCAATGCCCAAGGCTGGCATGGACAAGCCGGCTCTGTCTTCAACTATCGAGACACCGCCGCAAAGCCCACGAGATGCCCCAGAGGGTTTCAAGGATCAAGCCAGAAGCGGCACACGCAAGGACTTCCGGAAGACATACGATGACTATGTGACAAAGCGTGCAAATCCGTGCCAAAATTGCGCGCTCACGCTGCCCAAGCGTCAAGATGGCAATTCCGGCAAAGACAAGGCTACTACTGGTGGGAGCGACAAATCAGACATGCAAGGGCCGACATTACGCACACGGGCACCGTACGCACGTGTCTATGGAGGTGGTAGTAGGGATGCCAGTCCTCCTAGTTCGACACCACAGTCGTCATGCACCTCCGAGGACGAAGAAGTGTCGCCCAAACAAACCACACGCGCCACTATTAGCAGAAGACCCACGACATCCACTTCAAGGTCCAGTATTTCGTCCAAGTCGGGAGTCAATACGCACACGCACTTTCTCGATTACACTAGTACCCATGAGCCTCAGATCGCAAATACATACTCGATTGTGCGGAACTCTTGCCTGCGCACGCTTTCCTTCGAGACACTCCCGCGCCGGACGGACCACGGTTCGGCCAACAGTTCCACCATGAGCAGTCCCGTGTCCAGCGTTGCGCCTCAACTGCCTACAAACTATACATCGCCGCCTCTCTCGGTGAACCCGGCATATATAAACGCAACACCCACGCCTCAATCTGCGGCGTCAGGAGGTGGACCAATCTTCTTTGGAGACTCCATCAATGGGTACACTACTGCATACATCTTTCGCATCCCCGACATGCATGCGCGCGGAAGGAAGCGTGTCTATGCTTTTCTTGCCTTGACTACACATCGTGAAAGACTAGCCATGAAGGTCTTTGGCTTCATTGCGGCGGCCTTCCGGGATTTAGCTGCATGGGTTCAAGATCTGGCCGAGGCCGAGGCAGAGCGCGAGCGTGAAAGACTCGAGGAACAGGGTGGTCCAACTAGCAACCGAAGCTCGTACACTGGCGGGTTTGAGCGAGGCCCTCGTGATAGTGGCATCGGTCTTGGCTTAGGCGGCGGAAGTATTTCGGAGCGTGATCGGGATCGCGACCGAGACAGTGGAAGCAGCTTCTTGACAGGAGGAAACCGCACTGGCTTTGCCAACAGAATGGGTATGGGTGGATACATGGGGCCCGGTGGCTTTGCACCCAAAGCGCGCGGCCTGGCTGAGCTGGTCGGCCTGCCCGACTTCTTCATCGAGCTACACACGAGATTTGTGCGTCTCTTGCTGGAGCTCGGCGTCGTCTTGGGCTCGTAAGCGCGGCGCATACCATCAATTTCGAAATTATAAAAAAGCGATACCCCGGTCTGGAGCGGTAGAATATACCCCCAAACATCACTCTATGGTTGGCATCCTGATGGACGTCGGTCAATCTAGACAAATTACGATACCCGCCCAAGTCTGCACTGGAGAACGTGCTGGACTGGATTTGTACAACAATACTCGAAAATCTTTGTTCCGAAATGAGGAACAATAGGATGCGAGCACTGATAATGGCTCCAACAAACTGAGCATAGAAGACTCGTCGACGTCGGAAGATAGTACGTCAACCTGTCTACGTCAAACGACAAAACCACGACGAATTTTTGGTTTCGTGTCGAGCTACATTGGAGCGTGTAGAGCCGTTGTGGAAGATAGAAGAATGGGTGCGAAACTGCTGGCCGGTAATGATAATGAGCAAACATCACCTTGTAACATTACTGGATGCTCCTTTCTTTTTGGGGGCAGAATTTGTCTTGACACGGAGAACATGTATTTTAGATGAAAGGAAAAATGGAACCGTCCGAATGGAGGCTTAGAGAAAGATGTTTTGATGAAGGACACAAAAAGATGGATCCAGTGGAATAGATAAAATTGGGAACTTGTCCATAAGGACTAGATGTATGTATACTTTGGCATGCAGGACATGGTCAAGGGGGAAGATGGAGTTCGTCATGTACTAGTATCAGGGGAATAACAGAATCATGGAAAAACCAATTATATTGCAACCACGAACGACTTAGGCATTCTTATAACAGGTATCCATTTGAATTCTCAGTGGAGTGTCTCGTGACTTTAGATCGATCTGATATTGCTTGTTTTATTCCACGTGATTGAAACAGAAACAAGTTCCACAAGTAGGATGACGGAGAGGCATAATATTTACCGACTTGCCGCGAGCATGCAAAGGCGGGCTTTGGCATCACATGTGCAAGGCATTTCACACTCCGGTTGCACTGTACGATGGTTATTACGAATTTGAGTCACTGGGAAACGCGGCGGACGCAAAATCCCGGGCATCACAGCCCTATGTAACGCAGCACTTTGGGTGGCTCGGCTCATCTGCTCAAAAAGTATAATCAACCTATCGCAAAGTATTGGCATTAGGAAGCTTCCTCACAGAACGTCAGCGTAGGCTGGTGCCAGGATACACGCATGTCGCCTCTTTCATTGCTAGCTTTAAAATAGTGTACATCTGCGGTAAGGCCAAATACATGTCTCGTTTGAACCTTTGGCAATGGTCCACGAAGACCAAATTGATGATATCTTTCCTCCTTTCATGCAAGAATTGGCCCGTCACGGAAACAGCGTAGTTCCCCAGACATGTCTTCGGCACATACACACCTGGGCTTGCTTGCCTTGACGAGAATTTGTTTATTTGTAGAAATCAAATTTGTTGTCATCACTGGTGCCCTTGACCTGTGCAGAATAGGCGTCTTCCAGATCAACCTGAATGATGTTGTAGCGGTTCTTCCTCACAGCACGTAGACCAGCCTCCTGCATAATTGCAGCAATGACGGCACCACTGAGTGGGTCGTTTCTGGTGATCAAGCTGTCCAAATCAACCTCTGGTGCCAAGCTCATCTTGCTGGCAATAGTTGAAAAGATGAGACGTCTCTCTCTGCGATCCCTCAAGCTGGGGAATTCAATCTTTCGGTCAAGACGTCCGGGTCGCAGCAAGGCAGGGTCGAGAGTGTCGGCTCGGTTGGTGGCCATGATGACCTTGACGTTTGAGGTTTGGTCGAAACCATCCATCTGGTTCAACAACTCCAGCAGAATACGCTGTACCTCTCTATCGGCACCAGTCTGTGCGTCGAATCGCTTCGTGGCAATGGCGTCAATTTCGTCGATAAAAATGATGGCAGGAGAGTTTTCGCGAGCCATTCTGAAGACATCACGCACCATGCGTGGACCCTCACCAAGGTACTTTTGTACAAACTCTGAACCAACCACACGGATAAAGTTGGCCGTTGTTGAGTTGGCAACAGCCTTGACGAGCATGGTCTTTCCGGTTCCGGGTGGTCCGTATAGCAGGACACCACGGGGAGGGTCGATACCAATCTGCTTGTAGAGGTCAAAGTGCGTAAGGGGGAGTTCAACGGCTTCCCGAATCTCCTGCTTCTGCATATCCAGACCACCAACATCTGCATAGGTAATGTCCGGCTTTTCATCAGCGCCCAACATGGCGATGGATGAGTCAGCCTCAGGAGGCAGAATGTCGACGAGGGCATTGGAGTGGCGGTGGAGGGCAACGGACGAGGAAGGCTTCAGCTTCTCGCGGTCGAGGGTGGAGAGAATGCGAACGACATAGTTGGATCCGGTGCTGGACTGTACAATGCCAGTGCTATGAGTTGTGTCAGAACATGACGGGCAGTGGAATGGGGGGTTTTGGCTTCACCACAGGGAGCTTACTTTTGGTCAATGGCCTCCATAAATTGGCCAATGACTAGCGGAACACTCTGGATGCGCTTGATCTCCTCCTGTGCCCGCACGAGCTCGCGCTTCAAGCTTCGCTGCTCATCCTTGATGTACTCCTCTTGCAGCTGAATGTACTCGAGATGCCTTTGAAGCTTCTTCAATGTGGCGTACTCGTCTCCTTCTTGTGATGAAAGACCCTCGATGTTCTCAACGTTGGGGATGGTGGAAGGGATGGGCTTGTTGTGAGGTGCCACCGTGTTGGCTGGGTTCTCGACTGCGACGTCGCCCATGATGACTTCTGGAGTGACGGGTAGGCCGATGTGCACTTCTGATACGGATTTGGCTGTGATATTTCGATATGTCTTTGTCGGCAGGAGCGTAACGATGATCAAGAGCGAGATGGGATGGTCGGGATGGTTGTTTGGATGCGATTATGGATTACGATAGAGATGAAGTCAGCTAACTTCGAGAGCTACGTACGCCAGCCTTTCAGCCTTGAGCTCGGACCTGGAGTGGGGGCCTGGGAGCCGCTAGCTAGCCTCAGCTGGCAGCAGCTGGACTAGCGAATGAGAGTAGCTACAATGGTGTGGATCTCTAGTTATTTTAAAGGTCGACTTTGAATACTATGTATGTAGTCTTGCAATATTTGTACAATGGACATTTGTAGAATAGACATCAAATGCATTCTAGTTGAATCAGATCCCCTAATGAGGGATCGTGGTACTAACAATGCTACCTTTTTGTTCAGTTGTATCGTTGAAGTCAATTGTATCAAAGGTGCAATGGAACGTGCAAGAGAAGTTGCTTTCCTGGTAGAGATGTGGACAGCAATACTCTGCAGTATAAATGCCACGGGTACATGGATGGGTAATGAATAAACGAGGAACTGCTTGCGAAGCTTGCTCCCTTCTTTACTTTGAAAGCCATAGTTGGATATGCAGCATTTCTGGAGCTTTCTCGTGGCGTTAACGTGGAGAATAATCACGAATGCTGCACATGTGGTATCATGTCCTCTAGTCTGCTATGTATTCTGCCATGGTACATGAACCTAGTCTAGGACTCCCTCTTGTCCATGTATGTATCTGATACTCACGGCGGCAAGGTGTAACAGGGCAGTGGGTCGGGGATTTACTATGTCAGTCAGTCCCAGTTGGCGCTTCGAGTCGCCCCATTTACGTCTCACGAACACAGTCATCGCAGTGCAGTACTCCGTAAACGGATGATTCTACTTTCTTGTTTTCTTCTTCTTCAAGGAAGCACAGCAGATGGGACATCGGATCTTGCAGACTATAACAAACAGCGAAAGTCTATTGACATAATTATCACTGATGATGCAAGCTTTGCAATCCTACAGCGCCATGCTACGAATGATGTGACTATTATGCTATCCATTTGCACATAGCTTGATCAAGGGAGCTACTTGCTCTAAATCCCTAGTAGCCTGGGTGCATGCAGATCGCTGTGGAGGAGGCCCTGATAGCCGATCGTACGTACCTTACTCTCTTGTCTTTTTGGCCAAGACGCAATTACACAGTACGCACCTAGGGCAGTGGATAGAAGATGTTTGTTGATCGATGGAGATATATGCACATTGAAGAAGCAATATCTTTCATCTAGAAAGCGATGTATGTCAAAATTCAGAACGACCACTTGACATGGCCTCGGTGGATTGACAACAGCATTTCAAGAGCTTGACGGCATCCAATGATTGCAATCCCTTCCTCGCTCAACGCAAAACGAGGTCATCCATGGTGCTCGCCCAAGCCTAGCTGCCTGGTGCATATTGCTAGCTCCTGCCAGGAACCAATGGCCTTATCGGAACCAAACCAACAGCACCCCAACCCCGCGAACACTCGCTTGCTTCACCAACCTTAGGCACCCTCGGCACCCTCCTGGACCCTGAATCGCTGCCGAGTTGGGCGTCTGGGGCTTGCAGTCGTGTCACTGAGCAGTCAAGTTGCTGTTAGGCAGGCTCCAGAGCTACCTAATGCGACCTACCAATACCCGTGGACGTCCCAATCCACCACCTGCAGTGCACCATGGATCCCCGTCCCGACTCTTCCCCGACCGACCCCCCAGGTGACTCTTGACGCAACTTGCCAACTTCCAGACCTCCGATCTTCCTTCTTTTCCTCTACTCCCATCTTATCCGACTCTTTCGTCTGTCTCGCGAAATTAAATGTTTACAGTCTGTGCCGAATCGTTCAGTTCGTGGAGTTGGCGGTTGTTATTCTATAACTCGACACTTTCGTCCTGGCTTTTGTCTACGTCCTCAATCTGACCCAGCTGCTTGTCATCTCTTACCACTGATTACCGCACCGTAACATACCATACCACCCAACCTAATCCGCCTGATCGATCCAACGAATTCGTGATCCCTCTGCCTTCCGCACTGCAGCACAGCCTCAACTTGACGTCCACCGCAAACATGTCTTCTACAATCAAGATCCCAATCACACGCAAATCCACGCAGAGCGCTGGCTCAGTTTCGTCGTCTTCGTCGTCGTCGTATTCCATGTCGCCGCAGAAGACCCCGGAGCTGGCCAAGGCTACACCGTCACAGTCACCTTCACAGTCTGGTCCACGATCCTACATCCACCAGAGACGTCCGAGCCTGCTCAGTAGGTCCATTTGCTTGATTAAATGTCCTCAACATACACTCAGAGCGTAGACTGACTCTGGAACCTGACAGGCACCTCGTTCAGCAAAGAGGAGTGCACCGTCATCAACGTAGGCGACCCAGATGGGCCGCCCCGCCTGGTAAGCCAGCCCCCACTACGCACTCCACACAACCGCCCGGGGTCAATCGCCGTGTGACAGTCGTCTCAAATGCTTGTACGCACGAAGTGTACTGACCATCACTGTAGATTTCTTACTTGTCCTCTAGCCAAGGCTTTGTTTGGAACCCCGAGATCTTCGTACCATCTTATCTCGACATTGACACAGGATCTCTCGAGATCAAGCTCGACCCGGTGCATGAGATCCTCCTTTCCGATGAAGAAATCAAAAAGATGCTGCCGCAATAAGTCACTTCCTGGGACTACCATCTCGACCTGCCCGTGTGTTGCATCCTCGATACGATGAGACCAATACAAGGGACATGGGGGATGGCAAAGATGAAATACATATCAGGTCATCGAAAATTCGACCTCGGCCAGAGCCACCGAACCTCGAATGTTCCTCGCCTCTGGATCTTGGGGCGAGTCGCATCGTGGTATTGAACTAGAAACAATGGCGCAGCTCATTAGGTGGCCACGGCGAGAAAAAAACATGTCAGTCTTCAGCCACGACGGGTGCAAGGGACGGTATTCCTCCTGTTTTCGGCTTGTATTGATGATGCATGGAGTATATGTTTTATGATTATGCGGTTGCTTTATTCTGACGCACGGTGATGGATCGGCGTTGGTGGGTATTTTCGGTCCTCTGTTCAAACAACAATGGCGTTTGCATACTTTGAGGTTGCATTATGGCTATCAACCTACTGGTCGCGCATGGGCGCTGGGTTTCTGCAAGGAGTTCGTTATGGGTTGCGTTAGGCATAAGATTCCCAACTCCGTCACTGGTACTTGATAGAGAACTTTATAAACTAGTCATGCTATTTTTTTTTTTTTTTGGGCTCTGCGAGCAGTGTAATGGCCTGATTTTAAGTGCCTTGAGATACCAATACAAATTGTTCCCGTCGAGTCACCACATTTATTCTGGCGGTTTTGCTTATCTTGCAAGTTACATGCATGTAAAGGTGGCCAAATGTCTGAGCCTTGGGCACAAGAAACACCACGTGGCTGGAGTCGAGCAGTAAATTGGACTGAAACATTTCTATCGCTCAGCCGCCTCAAAACTAATTCCGACACAATTGTTCCATATATCTGTCATACATGCACATGTCAAGCAAAGCGAGTGAGTGCCTAACTCGCTCCAGGTAGCATCCAACACATTCACTACGCAACCAATACTCGTCGCAACTTGATAAGGATCTTTATCCACTTGTGCTGTACTACGTATATCACAGTTTACCGTATTCGGACAAACATCCACCACATCGTGTTCCAATGTGACGCTAAAGAACACTTTATCTAGGCGGCTACTGCGGCTGCGTGGGCCTAGTTGCGTTGATCAGTCGATAAGCTAGGTTGTATTTAGGATAGCCATAGAGCACAATGTAGGTCGTCGCGCCGGCACTTTATGAAGCTGTATATGATGCATATGGCTTCAGAGGAGTTTGGGAAACTGGAATAGTTGAGGTCGATAATGTCTTATCGTATGTAGGCCGCATTACAACTGCTCAATCGACCTTTATCGGCCATAAAGCTCATTCCGGGTCCGGGCCGGCGTTGCGGCAGTGGAAACGGAAGCGCGGTATCTTGTTCGGACCCGTCAAAGGATTAACTGTAGGCCGAGGTCGGCGCCAAGATCACCCGGGTGAGAATGAAAGCATCTGTGATTCGTAGTCTCGTCAATTTCGATCTTCCTTTCAGAGGAGAAGAGGGCCAGTAGGGCGCAAAGATAATCCGTCTCCATACGTGAATGGGTGACCTTGAGAATATGACTGGCATGATGAAATTTTAAAGAGAACTACGACAATAAATTTCGGATTTAATCATGAGAGGCACGAGCACTTGATAGTGTGTCGCCAGACCGTTTTAGCACCATGAATCTTATTTTTTCTAAGACCCAAGTTCAAGTTGAAATATGGTACATTAGTTCCTCGCACATGGATATTTCCTTAGAAGACGGCTCCCAAGAATTATGACAAATGAAAATAGTAAATGAGGGGAAAATGATGATGATGATGATGAAAACGCCACGCAATGATGCAAACGAAAGAAAAGAAGAAGGAAAAACCCAATGCTAGCCTCTAGGTCTGCTTCTCTTCTTCTAATGACCTGGCTGCGCACCTGCGGCCGGACCCATGGAGACCAGACTCAAAAAGATGTTCCATAGAAAGCCCACGCACGAGGAGACAATGACACGCCACCGTACGGGGACCCAGAGAAAATTGCACATGGCCACAATGGGCCACAGATTCCAGCCCGCCCGCAGCAGCCTCCAGAGCTTAGTCTCGACCACGATGAAGACGTCGGCAAAGTGCGGCACGCGCGCCACGTTGGTAATGATGAGAAAGACGGAGATCATGACGCACAGACCGACCGTCTGGTCCGCGACGAGCTTGGCGACGACATTCCTCCAGCTGACCTTGGTCGCAGAGCCTCCAGACGACGACGCCGGACCTCCCCCGATCGGGTCCGCAACCGCCGAGCTCGGGGGCAGTGGTAGTGGTATGGCCACGTCCTTGTCCTTTTCGCCGGGCGCAATGACGGGCAGCGGCGGTCCGACGCGCGGAATAATGTGCGTAGGAAACTGTCGCTCCAAGAGGAGGTGCCAGATGTAGCCAATGTGGGCGCCAATGAAGCCAAAGATGGCAAACTCAAGGATGCGCTGGCGGTCCAGCGGCTGCGGATCCTTGGAGCTCCATTGCACCACCAGTTGCGCAGTCAGGTTCGCTCCAGCCTTGATGAAGGTGTTGTGAATGGCCGTCGATAGCATAGACGGCATGGTGGCGACTGACTTTCTCTGTAGTAGTTGTCGTCCCTTGCTTACCTAGGCCGGGGGCCCGTCCTTGACCCCACTGCCCGGCAAGGAGGAGCGGTTTTGCTTTTCCGTTTGAAGGGCTCCTAGCACGAAATACACAGAATGGGCGAGTATCTCTAGACTTGTCGGTCCTCCTCTTCTCGTGTGGTTTTTTTGTTTAGTCGTGATTTGTTTTCGGAGTTGATGGTCACGCGACCATGTCTCTCCCCCTCATGATCTGACTGGCATTTTTTTTTTCATGGGATCCAAAGGGATGGGTAGGTAATTGAAAGACACGTTGACAGTGTTTCGTAATCTCGGCATTTTCCGCCGGCCGTTTTGGGTAACGGCCAACTTTTTTGACGTGTGGGGGGACGTTTCAGGGGTGTTGAGCCTTAAATTGTGGAACGTTAAAAGGGGACTTAGTGTATTCAGTATAAATAAACGGATCTGGCTACATGGGTTTAGTTAAATAAAGTGCATAAGACCTAATTGCCTCCCACAGCCCACCGGAAATAGCCGTTAAGCCGGAGGTCTTAGGGTCTAATGCTTTTATTTATTAAAATAAGAGTTATACCTATTATTTTAGTTAAAGTTAATTTTTTATACGCTTTTTATAACGAGCGATTTAATCGAAATAAAAAAATAAACCTTATTACGATAATTTATAATATAATTTATAATTAAATAATAATAATTATACTTATAATTAAATTATAATTTATTATATTTAGTAAATATACGAAATGCTTAAAATCCTTAGGTTATATCGCTTTTATAAGCTTATTAACGGCGTTTTCCGTAAATATAATTTTTTTAATTAAAATATTTTTAGCAAAGATTTTTTATTAAATATAATAAAAATACTTTTTAATATATTTTTTTATAAATATATTAATTTAAGTTTTTATTTACGCTTTTGCGTTTATATTATTAATTAATAAAAAAATCGCCTTTTAAAATATTATTTTTAGTTTTTTTAATAAATTCCTAATAAATACGGCTTTATAAACGCCTTTATTAATAGCGTAATATTTAGCTTTTATAATAAATTAAATAATTACGCTTTATAACTTTAAATTTTAGCTTATTAAAAAGCCCGCTATAAATATTACTTATTTAAACGTAAATTTAAAAATTAATTTATCGCTTATAAAATTAGCGTTAACGTAAATATATAATTTTAATTCCCTATATTTAATATAGCGATAAAATCAAATATATTTTATTTTTTTTATATAAATGCCTTAAAGGTATTATAGCATTTTATTTAAATATTTAATATAATTAAAAAACGGGTTATTTATAAAGCGCGTTTATATTTTATTAGCGTATATTATATTTACGTATAGCTTAATTATAGCGTAATTTATTTTCCCGAGCTTTTTAAAATATTAATTTTTAAATTTTTAATTAATATAGCTTTTAAATTTATAAATTATTATTATTAATCCCGGATTAATAAAAATAATAGCATTTTTAATATTTTAATATCCGAGTTTTTTAAATATTTAATTTAAATACCTATTTTATAATAATATAATATTATTATTTTTTTTTAAATAATACGTATTTTTAAATATTATTTAGCGGTATTTAAATATTATAATTTTAGCTATTTATTTAGCTATTAAATTAATTTTTTAATAGCTTTAATATTCGTATATATAATTATAAAATCGTTTATATAAAAAGTTAATACCGTTTTATTAGCTTTATTTTAATAAATAATATTATCGGTTTTTAGTTTTATAAAGCCTAGCTTTTTTAATTTTTTTTTAATTTTTTATTATTATTTAAAGCCATTTTGCTTTAAACCGTATAAAAGGCGTAATAGCCTAATTATATTGCTAAAAATATAATTATATTATTATATAATATTAAAATATTAAAATATAAATTTATTTAAATATAAGAATTAGCGTATATAAATCTTTTTATTAAGCCGGCCTAATAAATAAGCTATAATAAAATCGATTTAAAAGATTTTTTAGCCTTTAATTATAGCTATCGTAATTAAAATACGAATATTTATTTATTTAGCTATATTAGCAAAAGTTTTTTTATAATTAATTCCGAAAATTTAAATAAAGCCTTAAGCTATAAGGCATACCTTTTATTTATTTATATTACCGGTAAAATTATATTTAGTTTTATATATTTATTTAAATTTAATTAATAGCTTTTGCTTTAATTTAAAATTATTATAATCGAAAAATTCGAACGTTCCTTTTTTAAATAGCTTAATAATTTTTTTTATTATAATTTATTGCTAATTAAGCTATTTTTATATATTTTTTGTTTAATTAATTAATAATAAATTAAGGTTATATTTAATAATTAGCATTAAATATTCGTTTTATATTTATTCGAATAAATTATTATTAATTAATAATAAATAATTATATAAGTTTTTATTTAATATAATTAATAACGCGCCTTTAAAGCTCGGATTTTTTTTATCGTTTTAATTATAATCCCGTAAATTAATTAAAGCGTAATAATTATTTTTTATAATTATATTTATATATATATAAGCATATTTATTTAAATTTTAACGTATTATAATATAATTATAACTATTATTTATATGTATTATAATATATTTAATTATGCTTTACCGTATAGCTATATATATTTAAAGAAAACCGGCTTTAAATCGCCGCGCTTTTTATTTTTATTTTTTAGTTATATTCGGATTACGAGGTTTTATATAATAAATTAGCTTTAAAATTTTATATCGCAACTTATTTTAAACGTATTACGGGAGTAATTTAATTATTTTTAACGGATTAGGCTAATTAGCGTTTTTATTAAAATTTTTATAAAATATAACGTAAAGAATTATAATAAAATATATTATATTTAATATATATACCTTATATAAATATTTTTTAAAATAATTTATAAATATATTTTTTAGCGTTTTTGCCTGTAATTTTTTAGTTTATACCTTATTTTCTTTTAAAATATATATAAAAATACGCGATTTAAAGGATTTAAAGTGCTTAATTAATAAGCGATTAGGTGCATTTTATAGCTAAAAATTATTTTCCTAACGTTATTAAAAAGTAACTAATTCCCTTTTAATAAGTATTATACGGTTTAAAACGATAACTTATATTTTATAAATTTTATTTTAAAATATTATAAGAATATTTATTTAAATATAAATAGCGCGCGCATTATTTTATAATACCCCGATCACGCGCTTAACGGCATTATTTTAATATTAATTATTCGGTATTAACGTAATTAATTCGATATTTTTTTATTATATATAATTATTAAAAAAGCTACCGTTAAAATTATTAATTTTATTAATGCGAATTACTTTAATTCGGCGCTTTTTTTTCCCGAATTTATATTATAGCTAAGCGATATATTTAAAAAATCGCTTTATAAAATCTTTTTAAATAAAATATCGATAAAATATAATTTTATAATTTTACGGCATTTAATTAGTATAAAATAACGATTATTATTTAAATTAACGGGTTTAATTTCCTTAATATTAGCTTATAATAAAATCGCCGCAAAATTTACGCAAATGCGTATTAAATTTATTAAATCGATCCGAACGCTTTTAATTTTATTATACGTATCGCATATTAATATAAAAATGCTATTTAAATCTAAATTAATGCCTTTAATAGCTTTAATTATTTTAATTAGCTATTCCTTATTTAAATAGCTTAATTAACGATATTATAAAGTCGTTTATTTAATTAACGGCTTCGTTAATCCGTTTAATACTATTAAAGCTTATATATAAAATAATTCTTTTTGCCTATATAGCTATAAAAATTACCTTTTTTTTAATTATATTAATAATAATTAATATTTTATTATTAAGCGTTTTAATAAAATTATTATAAATTTTAAATTTAGCTTTATATAGCTTATTATTAGAAATTATTTTTAATAAAAAATTTTTAATATAATAATATTTTTTAAACGTTAATTCCCGGCGCTTGCCTTTAAAGCTATATTATACGGTTATTATTTAGCCGTATTTTATTAAATATATTATACCGTTTTTAATTATAATAAATAACCGATTATATTTATTTAATTTAATAATTAATCTAATAATAAAATTAGCTTTATTATTCGTAATATAAATATTAACGCTTATATTTAATAGCTATTATTTACGTAAATTTAGCGTTTAAATAGCTATTAAAATAAGGAAATTATAATAATTCGTTTTATTTTATATATACGGATCGTATTATTTAATAGGTTTATAACGCTTATTATTAAGCGTAGCTTATAATTATTTAATTACGCCGGAAATAACCCGTATATAATAATTATAAATTATCTTTTATTTTTTTTAATTTTTATTTTAATTAAAAAATTTTATAATTCTAGCGCTTTTAAACTAATAAAAAAAATTATTATTTATTATAATTAATAATAATTATTAAAAGCCCCGGAATACGCTTATAAACGCGCTTCCCCGGCCCCGGTTACGACCCGTACCGCGCTTATGGTAATTATTTTTATTTATGCTTAATTATATAATTACGTTTAATTATATAAGTAATTATATTAATTGCGTAAAATTAGAATTTTATTCGTTTATAGCTTTTTTATTACGTTTTTTAGATTTATAATTAATTCGCCGATAACCTTTTTTGCCGTAATATTAATATTTGCTATTAATTTAACCGTTATTATTAATAAATAATAAATTAGCGTTATTTTTATTATTAATTATTATTTTATTTATAAATTTAATTATAAAAAATTATTAAAATTATATAAATCCTAATATAACGCCTTTTAGGAAAATAGCTAATTAATTTTTTTTTCGTTTTATTTATTTTAAAGCCTTATTTTTAATAACTTTTAAATATAATTAAATTTAATTATTTAAAATAAAGCGTTAATTATTAGCGTTTTAGCTTTTTTATATATAATAATTTTATTCGGTATTAAATTTAGCTAGGTTTTTGCTATTATAATTGAATTTATATAATTTCCTTAATAATTTTTGCTTTTTTTCGATAATAATAAAATTAAATTAATTATAAAAAACATTTTTTATTTTTATATTTATTAAATAGTATTTTATAATTATTAATAACGTTTTATCGTTAATTATAACTAAAATTATAATAATAATAAGCTTTTTATTTAAAAAATAAATAAAGGTTTTTGCGATTTATTTAACGGCTTATTTATTAAGCTTAAATAATGCTATATAAACGCGATAATTAAAGGTTCTTATTAAAAATTTTAATTTATCGATTTTAAATTTAAAATTTTTTAAGCAAAAAATTAATATAATTAAAGCTTATTTTAATATATTATAATTAGTTATATTAGCGGTTATTTATTTTATATTTTTAATTATAGCTTTTATAATATTCGCTATAATTATATATTTTATAGCGTTTTAGCTAATTTTATTAGCGATCGTTTAAATAGCTATTATAACGCTTTAATTATTTTTAATTAAAATGCTTTAGCTAGCAATATAAAATTTTAAATAACTTTTAATACTAAATATTATATTATAATAAAAAAAGTTATTCGTAATATTTTTTATATTAATTATAATATTATTATATAAAACGTTAAAAAAAGATTTAATATATTTAATATAAATAAACGGATTTAGCTATATAAATTTAATTAAATAAAATATATAAAACCTAATTGCCTTTTATAGCCTACCGGAAATAGCCGTTAAACCGGAAATCCCGGGGTCTAATGCTTTTATCCGTTAAAACGAGAGTTATACCTATTACTTTAGTTAAAGTCAACTTTCCACATAAATGGCCTGAACGGTTGGTTCCTGGAATGATTAAAGATTCCCATTTCAAGCGCCAAAGTATACGCAGAACTAATATATCCAGTTGTGGATGTTGGCCCTATATTGCCTATGGATACTCATGCGAATTCAGGTAAATGATTTGAGATTGCCATCTCGTTTTCCGACTCATTGCTGCGGTGGCTCGCCCGAGAACCAAAACCGAGGGGTTTAGATCTGGAAAGGATGCATGCAGAAAACCGAGAGAACATGATAAAGTTGCATTGAAGCTGGGAACAATGTTGATCTCAGATCGGCCGAGAAAACACGCTACCCCAAAGAAGGAGCAGTATATCGGGCATAGTTGATCTTTCATGCGGGGTGGGATATGTGTCACCGATAATTCAATGAGCCATCTACTTATAAAGTAGGCGCAGACTGCCACTGGAACCCCTTTGCCTGCCGGGACATTGCGGCGGATTCACCTCGATTTTGATATCAAGTCTCGGATCTATTGATAATGTACAGAGTAGGTAGTAGCCACACAAAGCTGAGTGACCCCGCGATTCTCAACGATGGCGCGCGTGTGGTGGTTACGAGTCCGACAGCGTTTTAGACCACGCTTTATGGAACTTTAACTGTGCGAGACAGACTAGGTCTTTTGGTAGTTCGTGGTCCTATTATTGTAAATCTGTATCAAATTCCACTTCACCGTGATCATGGAAGCAGTCAATGTGGTCTTATTCAGCATTGTTATCACTGCAAAATGATGACGACGACGGCTGGCCTGACTCTCGACTCTCATAAGGGAAATGGCGCGGTGTCACGTGATCTCTAAGCACGCAATATTTGCTTTCGATTTGCACCATTCGGCTCAAACCATATCTGCCAGGACTATATCAGTGTTTCCCGTTTCGGCAACCGCAGCTATCGGCAACCTTCTGTGCACTGCCTAGTATCGTTGCTATCTCCTCTTCCGTTGGCCTGTTACGGCAAACAGGCCGCGTATCATGGTGATGCACATGCATGTGATATCGGGGGCTCAAGCACTGAAGCCCCTGGGAGCAAGGGGAATAAAATGTCGACTCTTCTCGCTGTCGCTACTGGCGCCCAGCGTGGGCAGCCTAGCGCTTTCGAGGGTGACAGGAATCATGGGCTTTAACGATATTGCCAAGTACGGGTCGCCCGTCGCCGCCTATTCGACGAGCGCCGCGAGGCCGCAGCAGCAGGTCTCGGCCATTGTCGTCGGCGGAGGTGCTGCTGGTTTAGCAGTTCTGGGCAATCTGCTGGAAAAGATTGGCCACGGCAAGATCTCGTGGGTTGACACCGAGTTCAACGGCGGACGCATCAATCGGAAATACAGGGAGGTCCCCAGCAACACCAAGGTCGGACTGTTCCTGGCGTACGGCGAGGCCACAGAACCTTTCCGTCAGGTCATTGAGAGCACGCCAAAGCCCAATGCCATTACAGCGCTGCAAGAACTGCCCCAGGACGGCACATGCTCCCTGGGTAAGGCAGGAGACATGCTGAAGCTCCTCTCGGATGGCTTGGTAAAGCATCCACGAATCGATCTTCACCAGGGCAAGGTTACGGAGGCTAGCTTGGATGGAACGGTAAGGACGCTTGTCCATACATTCTGCGGACATTGTGGACTAATGAGACGTTTCTAGAGCGCTGAATGGTCTCTAAACATTAAAGACTCAAAGACTGGTCAACTGGAGAGCCGCACAGCCCCCCTGGTTGTCTACTGCACAGGATCTTCACCCACGACTGTTCAGCTCCCCGTATCATCAACCTCGGTCCCCGAGTTCCTGGATCTCGATATTGCACTCAAACCATCAGAGCTGGCGGTCACGATTCCAAGCGACAACGAGGTAACAGTTGGTGTAGTAGGCGCATCTCATTCGGCCATCCTGGTCATCATGAACCTCGTCAAGCTGGCCCAGAACTCCCACTCGAAACTGCGGGTAAAGTGGTTTGCCCGTTCGCCCAGTCTCAAGTATGCAGTGTACAAGGATGGATGGATCCTCTATGACAATACGGGCCTCAAGGGAGATGCTGCCAAATTTGCAAAGGAACAGCTCGATGGCGAGAGGCTGGACGCGAGCGACGCTGGAAAGGTCGTCAAAAGGGTCGACTGCTCCGGAGGTGCCGAAAAGGAAAAGGAAGCCATGCAGCGCGAGCTTCCTGAGTGTGATTATGTGGTCCAAGCTGTTGGATTCACCCGCGATCCTTTGCCCGCCACGAAGCAGGCTCTCGAGTTTGACCACAAAACTGGTGGCTTTACCGACGCCACGTCTGGTAAGGAGCTACCCGGATTGTTTGGAGCCGGCATTGCGTTTCCGGAAAGAGTCGTTGATCCTGAAGGGAATGTCGAGCACGCTGTCGGCTTTTTCAAGTTTATGAAGTTCCTCAAGCGGGTTGTGCCGGAATGGGTAGCGAAGACGCATTCATAGAGAAGACTAGAAGCACAAGATGATGAGCTAGAGTCTGTTTGACGAGACAGACCAACTATTAGCATAGCGATGATTTCCAAATTTCCATGTATATTAAACCAAGCATACTTGTGCAACAGGACATAAGTCATAGAAAGAATCACTCTAGAACTACTTCTACTAAAGTCTCATGCTTTCTATCTCCTGAAGCACAGCGTGGCCTCTTGTTGCATCCTTTTAAGCATTGATCTCGTCATCGGCGATCGCCACGTCACACTCTATATAGCACTAGATCGCCAGCGGTGTTGTGTCGCTGAAGTCTTTGATCCGGCCGAGGAGCAGCTCAAGACTGCGATAGCCGCTGCCAGCGGACCAGCCTGGTAGTTCGTGGCCAGCAAGCTGAATGTCATAGAAGGTGACGCCTCGCTCCGTTCCCCATACTCCCAGAGACCCAGCGCCTGCCATGGCCCCTCGGTTCTGTTCGGTATGGTAGGGGACAAAGAAGGGCGTCGACGGCCTTTCAGAGAAGCCCTGGGCGCCGTTCCAGGTCACGTTTTGGAGCACGAGGAGGGTCCCATTGGTCGGGATCAAAAAGTCGAGCGCGCCAGAGCCAATAATGGAATGGTTGAGACCCTCAAAGACGGTCGTGAGCGTGCCGTCGACGCCGGGCCCAAGCGATCGGTCATCGCCTTGGAAAACGCCCCCGACTGCGCACGCCCACCACCATCCTGCGTCGGGAACATTCAAAGCCGCCTTAACGTCATCTCGGTTGAAATACACAGTAGGTGCCCCCGGAGGAACGTAGTCACCTCCATTTACCACCCCCAACGGCGTGTAAGGGAAAGGACACATGTCGGTAATGTGATAGACATTGAAACAAGGATTCACTTCAAGGACGGCGTCCAGGAAATCGAAATACACTCCACAGTCTGTCGGTGTTTTGTCCCAGGGTCTCGGCGGGGGCGGGAATGTCAAGTATTTGTCCAGGAAAGCAGTATAGCCGCAATTATTCTTCTGCGACTGGATAAAAGACATGAAGGTTTCGTTGAGCCCCAGGACTTTGCCCCAGTACTGGATGTAGTCTGGAAGGGTGATCTCTTGCTGAAATACCAGGTCCCCCATGAATGGGTCGTTGATGGAAATACCTTGTATATTGAAATACTCGGTATCTTGTTCGTCAAGGAATCCCTTGCTAATGTACGGAACGTAGAAGCCGGCGTATGACTCGCCAGTCTGACACAGTAAGCAAAAGTCACATTTCCTCTTGCGGGCGGAGTTGCATACCAGATAAATCTTTCGACTGTGCAGATCGAATGTGTCCATGAAGTTCTTCCAGAATCCTTTGAACTCTCGCACCAGGTCATCTTCATTCTGGAGATCCGGTTCTCCAGTAGAATAGCCAGTGTGCGCCGGCTGGTCTATCCAAACCATGTTTGTCAATTTGTTCCACGCATATGGATTCTGTGTAGGTTTCAGGGTGCCGGACTCCCAGAGAATGGGCCCATTTTCCTGGAGAAGGCCAATCATTGAAGAGCATCCTGGGCCTCCAGTGAACCAGACTGTAATTTCATCGGTGGCCAGCGGATTCTCGGACGGGAAAAACCAAAAGAATAGCTTGCGCGTCTCGCTGGAGTTTTGGGAAATCGGCAAGAGCCCAGCGTAAGATTCCCCGACATCCCAATCGACCAATGGTATGCCTGTTCCATTGACAACAAACGGCAAAGTCTTGTTGGTCAGAAACAAGTCCTCCTTTGCAGGCTGCACAGAAACATCCTCTAGTGTAGCTTGACGCTCAATGGCCGCGGCCCTGAGGTTTTCGTAGTACTTGAGGTTATCGACGAAACTGTACCTGGTGGGGTGAGCCGCATTCGAGGAGCAAACCACACCGAGAAGTAAAGCCGCCAGTAATCGAAGCATCATGGTATCGAGAAATTGTCAAGGTCAACAGCCAAGAGTCAATCGCTTCCATGGAATCGAATTTCCATACGCATACTCAATACTTACTTGGATATATAATTTACGGTGCGGCTCTCCATGAGTGTTCCGTTTAGGGAAGGTGGTAAAAGAGTTGGGGTATTCGTATTTGGCGGGGAGCGATACGAGATCAATTGACATGGCTAAACAAGATATTGCAACGTTCTACACGAGGTGATAACCATGACTACATTCGAGGTCAGTATTGCGAGTGACAGGACTGCGTCTTGTAGTGAATAAAGCGAAGTGGAATCAACCAAAAGCGTAAATACAAACTTTCACGACAGATTTCCGCGGATCCAATCGCGATCATGATCATGGGAGCCGATAAACGTAGTATAGACTCCGAGCTCACAAACATGTCAGTAAGTTTACGCATGCATGGTGAGAATGGTTCCACTCTGGCAGTGTTCAAATGCATAATAATGTCTTGATATGTCTAGATAGTATAACCAGAGAAACGGAGCTACATGGGCCCCGTAGAGCTTAGTTGAACAGACAACTAATCATCGCTCAATCCCAGGAGTTCCAAACTCTTGACCCAAAGTTTCTTCTCAGATTCGGGATTGAATGTGTTTGCTCCGTAGCCATCCGAGTAAGACGGCGCATGTGCTGGGGCGAGTTGCGGCTCACCAGTCTCATGAAGGTAGAGGCCGCATTCGCCTTCCGACTCCTTCGAAACAGCAGCCCACGCCGTCGTCGAGGTACCTTGAGCAGGGTTTGCCAATAGCTTGGAGAATTCCGGATGCTCCTCCATTTCATTGGTGCTGGGCATGTATCTACGAAGAAATTTATTCTTCGGTGCAGCCACAGTCCTTTCGCGGAGCAAGCGAAAAGCCGATTGCACCAAACCAGGCCTCAACAGTATGGTTTGAACTTGAAATCACCCGGAGATATGGTGTTGTATCCGCTTGTAGGAACGTACCATGTCGTTGATGGGAAGTCACTCCGTCTCATGACCTTGCATTCAAGTGGTAATCACATCTGTGTTGTCAGCTCCGGTGGTGCCCGGATTTGCTCGGTCATATTGAGGAGTCTAATTGAAAACGGGGGCCCGCGTCCAATCCCGAATAGAGGAGAGAAGAGTAGGATGTAATGTGTATGATCCAAGGTCAGGGAGCTGCAGGTCATCTTCAATCAACCAGTTACCCTCTGACGACTTTGCTTGGGAGAACAGATAGATTTAATTGTTGCCCCTGTCATTTTCTACATGATTTTCGTTTGTTGTTTTTTAATCATCCTGAGATAGCCCGGAGTAGTTGGTGGCGGCCCCGAATTTAGACTTCTAGACCGATTATCGCGCATGCGGCTTCGGTCCCGAAATCACTTGGCCTAGTCAGGAACCTCCCGAGCTTGGCGTGAATGCCCGCATGATTGATTTTGTGTCTAATTTACCTACCATTGACGACTTGCAGCCCCTCCACTCACAGATTCGTGTTATTCGCGTACTGTTCTTTTGTTTATCTGTTCAAGAAATGTCAGCATAGTAGCAGCTCCTGGGTGTGTACCACTTGCGTTAGTTCCCTTATACCTCACAACGACGTGTGGGTTTAGTTGGTGGCATCTTGACGCCCGGCAGTCATTCAGCACCTCCTGCACCGGACATTTACAGCCAACAAAACACGCTTTTAGCATTTCCCAGGCACAATGCCCACGACAGAGGAGGACCGCGATGGCAAGAATCGCAACTTTGATCTTATAAGACGTGGTTCCAAGCAACCCACACCATGGGGGACAGCCACTTTTATTGGCCTACGGTAGTGCTTTTTCTTTTCTTCTTTTCTCAATTGCGTTATGTTTGTATTGGTCCGCCACGCTTCATAACCGCCATTTAAAATTATTCCATGACCTATGCAATTCACCAAGCTTATTTTCCTGCCCCATCAGACTACTCGACCTGCCTTGGCAATATCACCTCCTACGCAATGGAGCGGCCGAGGGTGCACTCAGCGCCGTGGGCCTCCCCTTCCTTGTAGGGGGAACGCAGACGACAGCGGCAACGCTCGCCGCCAAAGGCATCTCCTGGCTGGCGCCCTTGGACCTACCTCTTCCGCGCCTCATCCTGCTCGCCATGGCTACGGGGTCCACCCTCAAACAGATCCTATGGCAGACGTGTCTAAGCCAGGAGGAGTTTCCCCCGAGCGCCGCGGCCCTGGTGAGCGGGTACAATACGCTAATCAACACGGCCAACACGCTGCTCCTCGTGTGCGCGTCAACGTCGTCCCTGGGCTCCCGCGGCCCGCGCGTGCTGGTCCTGGGCACCGAGCTGCCGCTGTCTGTCGTGGTGGGCTCGCTGGCGTATCTGGTCGGCATCACTACTGAGACCCTCTCCGAGATTCAGCGCATCCGGTTCAAGAAGGACCCTCGCAACGAGGGTAAGCTGTGCAAAGTTGGTCTCTGGAGCTGGGCGCGCCACATCAACTACTTTGGCTATGCGCTCTGGCGCGGAGGCTATTGCATGGTCGCATCCGGATGGATTGGTGGATTGGCCATGGGACTTTTCCAAGGCTGGGACCTTGGCTCACGGGCAAGCGATACGTTGGAAGAATATTGCAGTAACAAATACGGTGAGCAGTGGCTGCAATTTAAAAGGGATGTGCCGTACCGGATTGTACCGGGAATCTTCTGAGCAGGCAGTGCAACATGAATGGTTGGATATATGTCGGCTAGATTTGTAAAATATAGATATTTGATATAAATTGCTAGGAAATGTCGTTCCTTGATGAAGGAAATAATTGACAAGGTATAAACTCCCAAACGCCTTTCTCAATGACAATACCGTCACGAGCTTGTCCCTGGTATGAACCACCCAACGCCAAACATGAGAAAATTATTTACAACAGGATGCCGAGAACAGTGCTGATAATGAATGAGGCAATGCTTTGACCATCATTGAGGGCGTTGGCCAGCTGCTGGCCTAGCACAGATTTGCTGCCGAGTGTGTTGAGCCACTTGTCCACATTCTTCTGGTCCGGCGCCGTGAAAGACTTGATGGCGGCCGGCAGGACCTTTGTGCACTCGGTGAGGGTGTTGATGTTGTTGACACCTAGAAGCGAAAGTCGGACATATTCGCGAGCATAGTCCTGACCATTAATGTTAGCCATTTGATCATTTCAATGTCATTTGCAGTCTCGCCTACCTCATTCCAGTGGTCTTGTCCGCCAGATCCGGCAAACTCCTGCCATTCGTTCTGAGTCTTGGGGTGCTGCGAGATGACGATATCACTCTGGAACTTGAAGACTCGCTTGGGGGTGGCTGCGGTTCCTTGAGTTTGTCCGTAGAATAAAACGTCCCAGATACCAGGTGTAGAGTCTTGCGGGTCACCAGCACGGTTGGTGTCAACGAAAAACTGCTGGCTGGTGGTGTGAGCGCCGAGGAGTGCCACAAGGCCATGTGGACGAATGGTCTTGTCCTCAAACAGACTGATCAAATCATCGGCGGACTGGGTGACACCCGGCAAAAGCTGGGGGTTTTGAATGCTGGAGTCCTTTCTGCCAACGTATGACTTGATACGGGGTCCGAGTGGGCAGACGACGGTCGCAACGGTAGCTCCCATCTGGATAAGGTCCGCCATGGTGACACTCTTGAAGCCAAGTTGGGTGTTGTATTTCGCATACCAGGCTTTCATTTGATCGCCAATATCTTGGAGGCCATTGTTCTCTGTCAAGGTCAGCTCCACGCTATTGAGGCAGATGGAGCCGTCGGCACCGCCCTGAAGCCCTTGGGCCGCAGTCTGCTTTGACCAGCCACCAGCATCGTGGAAGCCAAGACGAACAGCCTTGCGAGCCCACTTGGTGCAGCGGCCAGAGTTTCCTTTGAAAAGCTTGACCATGTCGTCGGCAATGTACTTCCAGACGCAACAAGTGTCCTTGCCACACTCGGCGCTCTTCAGAGCTGGCACAGCGCCTGTGTAAGTGACATCACTCTCTCCAGAGCCATCACCCATGATGATATTCTTGATATCTTTGGCAACTGGAGTAAGGGCACTGTCTGGCAGAGTAATGAGATCGCCGATGAGCTCGTTTGAGTCGAACTCATCAGAATCACGCTCCATCAGCTTTGCTAGCCGTTTGCTAAAGCCTGGATCATTGGCCATGCCGGGGTAGGCAAGCACGGTTGAGGTGACCACCGAGTAGGTGGTAAGGAACGTGGAGAAACGCATGACGAATAAAGTGTTTGAAAGAACGCAGGTGGAAGCTATGGAGCGAATGACTTGGGAAGATTCCCGGAATTAGAGGAGAGAAGCAGGGCGTTGGATGCCTCAAGCTTTGAGATTGAATATTGCTGAGATGGATGAGTAAATTTCAGCGAAGAGAGGAAGAAAGTCTTCATCATTATATATTCACTCGACAATAGAATAGGCCAACTGGTCAAGTGTAAGTCGGTCCACCCTCATGATGCCGGGCACAGGTATACAACCAGGGTAAACGAGTCTAGTCATCTTGACTGCACCGTTATTGACCATGAAAATCAGCTGTGGCTGTCTTCCTACTCATTACTCCAGCTCGTAGGATTATTTTCGTGATATCGGAAAAAGATGGTCAAGGGTCTAGACTACAAGACGACACTTTTACGAGGGTCACTTACCGAGACGCTCCACCATGATCGGACGCTTGCTTTTCGTCCAAGCGGGCGCCAGCTGATCTCCCGATCCGGGGACCAGCGGCATTTGGGTTAACATTGGTCGAGAAACGGTCTGGTTGCTTTTTTTTTCTTTCTCCCTAGCGCAGGTACAGTAATCTTCTGCTTCTCCTGAAGAGCGGCGCTTGGGTGAAGTGGCTCGACCTCGCAGCTCCGGCCTAGAGTCAGGGCACGCCGAGTCTTTCGTGATAGAAGGACGCCAATGCCAGGTGGCCGGCATCCAACGGCTCGCCAAGCAGCGCTAAATGCGCGCTTGGATTCTGGTTCTGTTCCTGTTCAGCACCCAGACGCGTTGCATTTCAAATGCCCGATGCACATGTGTGTTAAGCGACTCTTTGAAGAGCATCACCTGTGAATGCGCAATGCAAGATTCGTTGATCCTTCATTCCCGAGCATACCCATTTGGTATTTTGGACATGTGGCCGCAACTGGGACTGACGCGGCGTGTGCACTCAGAGTTGCATACAATCGACCGCTAGAGCCTAGGGTAGTATACGGAGGTATCCCCCGGTATCCCCCCAAAGCTCCAGGCCTCCAGTATTGGACAGTGCCAATGCTAATGCCAATGCAATACCACGGCGGCCCGCCCAAACATTGATGCCAAGAGATGGGCCAAGAGAGTTGGCGATGCCACCAAGGACCGTCTGACCTGGTAGCCTGTAGGTAATGATTAGAATATTGCTCAGATCCTCCCCATGCGCTGGATGACCAAGTCCACTGAAGCCGGGCGAGCTCCATCCTCATGGCCAGGGGGTGCATATGACTCTCTCTGGATACACGTTGCAAGTAGAAGAAATTCTAGCTTACTCGATAGTTTTGCGCCTCACAAATCTCGGAGCCAGGTGCATTTTCGCAGCTGCCGGAGCTTATTAGGTCGGCCTTGGCAAAAGATGCGTCTACCTTTTTAAGGCATGGCACTGATCAGTTGTTATAAAAAAGACCCGGCCATGCGGGACAGTGCGGTCGTACATCAGCGGCCACCACCACGGACGTTGAGCTCTGCTGCTTGTAATACTCGTCAGCGAATCACGTATTCAGCATTGCTAACGAAGCTGGGTTTTTATTGAAACGAGGCTGAACTGAAGCTTAAAACCCAAAAGACTGCACCTCTCCCAACATGCAGGAAGGGATTACATGTCGGAAACGTCCCATCTCTGGCTCATCAACTGCCAATCCGGAAGCTATCCGATATATGACGGGCGTCGTTCTGGATCCCTGAACCACGCGACAAGATTATTCCAGTCTATTCAACGGCATTCTTGAATCATTTGCCAGAATCAGTCCCACATCCAACCTCGTAGTTGGCTGGTGTAAGCCATAGATCATCCGCCTCCTAGTGCCAAGCGTCTATTTTTGTGCTATGGCCACTTGAGTCTCAGGCAGCGCATACCCTATTTAAGCTTACAATCTGGCTTCCCGACGCCACAAATTCCAGCTGTCTCAGCTCCCCTGAACGCACGGGTTTCTCTCCCTCCCCTGATGCTACCCGAGATGCCCACTCAGTTCATTGTCCGCCATGCTGACATTACAAGACTGTGTCATTGGACGTGTACCCGTCTTGATCCTACATTCAGGGCCCACCAAGGCTCTTCACTGAGTTCCTGAATTCTCGTATAATGGTATAAGAAGCGAGGCGCATCATGCAATGTGATTACCTAGTATGTACACAATGCAAGCCACATGGGCAAAGGATTTGATCCATTAAATGCTCAAATACTCTCAAAGCAATAGTGATGGTTGATTCAGCTTGAAATTATACTAGGTTGGCACAACATGGAAGCATATTGGACTTCTTTTCTTCTTCATATCCTTGAGTTCTGCGGTAGTCTAAAAATTGAGCTGGTTGAGGTAGCCAAAAGCCAATACCTGGCTAATTTGACAGTAGCAAATATCGGCGGCCTCACAGCACTAATTTGGTATGGATTGATGATTAGTAACTGTGTTTTTGTTCTAAATCAATTTATCCCAATGGCAAGTTCCGCTAGTCTTGACTGAATAAAATCCCACGCCGGACTTGTCAATAAAACCCAAGCAATATGCGTCCAGACCAGTCTATTGGGATGCCTCCGTGAATGGCCCGTGGTTGAAAAGCATCTTTACTCGGAGTGGGGATGAAATGACAAAAGGAAAACAGGAATAGAGAGCAAGAAAAACCCTGCGTTATCCATTACCTTTTTCTCATCAATACAAGCATCGTGGTTTGGTGTGAGGTACGTGGGCATAGGCGTATTCTCGAGAGACTTTGGCGGAATTTCTGAGCAGTATTCCAGCCAAATGCGTGATTCTGTTGGGGATGAATCGAAGTTGCCATTTCTATAATCATACAATTATTCTTACTCAGATTTGAAAACGTATGCTGCGGTGTATGTGTTCTGCGGTTGTTTAGCAGAGCGGTCTTCTTCATCAATGATCCATTTGCAATAGTCTTCGAACTGCTCATGGTGAATTTGTTTTACCGCGTTGCAAACTTTTGTCTCATCGTATGGTCCCGGGGGGTGAGTGGTGAGTGAGTTGTAGACTGTTGCTTTACGAAGGCTTGTTGAAAGCTCCACGGCAAGCCACCCAATCCAGTTTGAACCTTTGCCAACAGATATGATAGTACCGAGGGGAACAGAAAACGGCAATGGAACAAAAGTGGTCTTGCAAACTGTTGGTTGAATCACGTAACTTCTCGGTATATTCAAGTTGCTTAGGGCCCAGCCCACTATGGCCACCAGAAGTGCTTATTTACAGCAGACAAGCACCGACTAGGGAGAACTTCGTCATCTACAGTTCAAAAGATGAAGATCCCTCTTGATGGCTCACGCGGGATACAGGACACCATCCAGAGAGTGAGCCGTGTTTGCTGATATCTCGACCTTCACAGCAGCACAAAGTCTCCCTTTGTGCTGCTTTGGAGAAGCGTAAGAGTGATGAATGATCTAGCAACCACTACATTGCTCTTTCTTGGGTACCAAGTCTGATACTCAAGGCTTAATACTAAAGCCCTCAGTTCCTGCGACGCCACCATTGACTATGTACTGGGTAGGCATGTAATGTCTGATTGTGCACCATATTCAAGTTTATCTGTAGCTTCTTATACCCAAATCAACCGACCAATATAAGGGCCTCAATTGCGAACTAAAAGTGCAACGACCACGGTAGTCATGCGCACGCTCCGAGTAATGCAAATAGTTTAGTTTTAAAACGTCACCTTGAGCAAAAAAATCTTTGTCGAGAAGCTGAGACATCTTTGTCGAGCTATTGAGATTACGAGTGTACCAGCAAAGCAGCGACTTGAAGCCGACAGGTCAAGTGATTTCCCCACCTAACGGGTATGGGCTAGATGGGTGTACTGGTCCCTGCAGACGCGGTTAACTTCAACCGAGCAGTAACAAGTCGCCTCCATTTTCAGGTTGTTCATTAGCCGCATGTTCTCGATCGAATCATCACAATACAAGAGACCAGTAGGCTATCACCAGGTTGTAGGGGAGGGGTAAGCGAAAGCTAGGGTTATATGTACCATGCGTGTCAGGCCCCTCTCCGTGGAATCTGTAGACTCAGTATACACCAAATACTTAGCTACCTAGTAGGTGCGCAGTCAATCTTGATGAGATATTGATACAAATATTGATGATTCAGAGCCTAAAAGTTGGCCAAATAACATAATTTAGCATTCAGTGGGCGCGGCAACGTCATGGCAACGACATCAAGATCACTACCTACTGGGCCCGGTTTACTATTCATTCAGGTCCAGATCGAACCCGCAGCTTTCGACGACCACGTTCTTGGCAATTGGTTCAAGGGAAGCAATTTATGGAGCCAAACAAAAGAAAGATCAAAATCTCATTCAAGTAATTGGGAATGTGCTGACCTTTCCGACGGACCAAAGCACCTGTCGTTGTGGAGGGTTGAGAATCTTGCTGAGGTTGCTGAGGAAGCGGGTGTACCATCAAGCAGCAGCAATGATGCCATGAAGGAGACCAAATTTGAAATGAGATACTACTCGCTTGTTGAAGAGTTCGAAAAGGACAAGCACGACGAGAGTAGGTCTGCACGTGCACATTGCGTCTGTCAAGAACCGCATCGCTGACAAGCCGACAGGCCATGCTACCACGCACATTATTACAGCTGGTATGGAGCCCGCGAATCTTGAAGCTTCGACAGATCTCGATAAGTGGTATTCGGAAGAACACAATGAGCAAATGTCGCTTGAACCAGGTTGGATTCGCTCAAGACGCTACAAGCTGGCTGATGACCCTGGCGATGCCTTTGGTGGCCCGGATCGGAGAATTACTTGGATGACTATTCATGAATTTGGTCAGGGCAACAAGCTTGGTAACAAGGTGGAGGCTCTGGACCCTGTCACACCTTGGACGAGGAAGGTAATGGGTGGAATGAGTGTTATCGAAGCAAACGTCTGGGCCAACACTCAGGAATCCTCTACGGTGCATTGAATTTTGAGTCATACACTCGCGGGCGTTGTAGGGTAGCAGTATCTCTCAATGTAGCCATTCATGCTTGCAGCATATTTACAATGTCACCGTTACATTTAAATGCGGGTTAGATTTCACTATTCACCCGCTGGCTTGTCTTGAACTGTTTCTGGAGGTTATGCATGTCCCTCTCACACATGTGCTGCTGTCTCCATGTCCTTGCTGGTCGCAGAAGCGCCCTCCGGGTCCTTTAGGGCGTTGCGGACAAGTTGATCCCAAAACACGGCATCCATCTCGTTCGGAGTTTTTCCCTCGGTCTCTGGATAGAAGAAGCAAAATGATAACAAGGCGGCGACATCGGAGACGAAGAACACGTATGAATATGCAAAACCGATGCGAGTAAGTGCGGTCGGCGAGGATTGAGCATAGATCAAGTTGACGGACCAGTTGGTCAAGGTCGTAATGGTATTACCCGGGGCACGTGATAGGGAAGATCTCGGCAGGATATACCCAACATATGATGCCCAAGGGTGTGTAGAATAGACCCAAAACAAACTTCATCGCCACCATGGACCGCAGCAGATTGTGGTTTTGGGGTAGGCAATTGGAGAAGTCTGCACGTCCCTGCGTTGGCTACTACACACCTAACCTAGTACCTAGTTGTAGCCTAACCTTCAGCATTGTATACACTCAAAGTGGGCAAGTTCTTATGACTCGCACAGGTTAAAAAATCATATTGGTGAGTAATGTAGAAATAAAGAGGCATGTATATGAGCATACCCATATGGTATGACTAATGAGCGCCCATAATTAGGACATAAGTCTAGGAGACGAGATGCTGGTGCATTTTCCTATGTCGCAAATTCAGCATGCAGAGCCCCTTGTAAGATAGGCGCATTGGTCGCTAAAATTAGCGTGATTCTGTTCTCGGAAGGCTAACGTACAATTGAAACTGCAAATTGTAAATTGTTGTTGTCAATGAAGTCGTTCAATAATGTCCTTTTACGCCTTTGTTGATCGAAAAATTGTATGAATGATGTTGATTTCAATTTAAAAATAGACCCCAACAGTATATGCAGCTCTCGGCGGCTTCTTCACCTGGAACCTCCAGGGAAGCAGAGTTCAGTTATGTATCGCGATTTATCTCCCTGATTTGGGGGCCACCTAGGAACGATTTCGAATATGAGCTTTCTTGATTGAAAGTGCATAATTTCAATAGAAGCACGTACGAGTCAAGGTACCTGAAAGTTCTGACTCAATCAAGAAATTCTGACTCGACGTTTCAACAAAAGCATCTGTGGCGCATAATCCAACGAAAGGTAAACACTCAAGGTATCAGTGAATTGGCATCTCCATCGAGGGGAAAGTGGCTCAAACTTGCTGCATGCATTATCTTGCCTTTCACGCAACACTTTATATCTAAGCATATTATTTTGGACATTTTGAAAACTGTATGCGGAAACCAACGTGGGCAACTGAATTGGGGGTAGAGGCCTACCTGACTACGTCGCTTGCATAACAAACTTGGAAGTGATTGTGGATGCTTCAATCCAATTGCGGTGTCAACATGGAAAGCTTCTAGGTCAGCATTGAACAGCCGCCACCAAATCAAAATGTGTAAAACCTCGACGTCTGCAGGAATCTGCAACTTTAAAGCATTGCGCATATTTTCACGTCAAGCCCACGCGGGCGCATGTGCCCGCAGAATACAGGGCTGAAATGCTGCTTAGAAAATTGCCCACATTCTTGCCGTCCCGCTCAACATGCCAGAAACAACGCCTAGCCTAGAACACAATCGTACTCTCGCAATTCCGGCTCATGCCACCTGTTCAAGGAGAAGAGAGGCATGAACATGAAGAAAGAATAAGCACATGTTGCCATTTTGCTTTGATTTCTTGTGCTAGGAAAGGTCGTTCAGTTCAAGTGCTTGTGATAACAGCAAAATTCAGAGTTTGACGTGCATTATATGCAGCTGCACACTGCACGCCGCAGACAAAGCACTCGGAATATGCCGTGGGTATAGAATGCGACATTGCAACATGTAGAAACTCACATCTATTGTATTGGCATTCATGTTTTCTAAACAAGACGCGTTGCTATGAGACTCGCAAGACATATATTATGACGGTGGACTTCCTGGACAAAAACACCATGATCTGACTGTCTCCCGCAACTGCTCCAACTATCAATACTTCTGGGTTGATCGCCAAGATGCTGGCCGAAAACGAAAAGAAGCATGGCGACAGGGGCGCCGCAGACGCCAGCCAATTTGTCATTGCTATTACCGATTCCGACTTGGAAGCGGTACATCGAGATACGTCAGAAGCAGCAGGATGGAAACCCTCATTCCACGAGCTGCTAATCATGGTCGCGCTGTCACTTATTTCCCTAATGGTGGCTCTTGATGCCTGTATCATTGTCACATCACTCAGCGTAAGTCTACCTCTCACCTCCCCAACATCCAAGTTCAAACTTGACGTGAACCAAAAGCCAAACTATGAATAGGTGCTCATACAAGTCCCCCTCTACAGGCTATCGTGACCGATCTTGGGGGCGATACCACACAGGGGTTCTGGATCGGGACGTCCTACCTCTTGTCCAATGCTGTCACCATGCCCTTCATTGCTGCAATCAGCGGTATTTTCGGTCGACCGATATGTCTCATAGCTGCGCTCTCATTCTTTACAGTCGGAACATTGCTTTGCTGTCTTGCACATGGTATTGTCCTTATGCTTGTCGGAAGATCGTTGCAGGGCGTGGGAGGAGGAGGCATCATCGTGCTCAGTTTGGTCGTGTTTACGGATATTGTACCACTTAGATACCGACCCAAGTGGTATGGAACCGTGTAAGTCCTCTGAAATTCTAACATCAATCAACGTTTCTCATACTAAGATATTCTCTAGTCTTGGAGCATGGGCCTTGGGCAACTGCCTCGGTCCCATCCTCGGCGGCCTCATTGTCGAGCATACAACCTGGCGCTGGGTCTTTTACATCATGTTTCCATTTTGTGCCTTCGGTCTTATCAGCATTCCCTTACTCTTGACCTTGAAGCCGCGGACCGAAACGATGAGGGTGAAGCTTGCCCGGGTTGATTGGACCGGATCCATGATATTTCTCTCATCGGCCACACTCTTTCTCATTGCCATCTCCTGGGGTGGCATCCAGTATGCTTGGAAAGACAAGGAAACGCTTATTCCGCTCTGTCTTGGCGTTGCCGGCCTTGGTCTTACCTACATTTGGGAGTCGAGAATCGCCACGGAACCTTTCCTACGCAAAAGCCTGTGCTTGCGCCCAAGCTCAATCGCCACATATTTCTGTGGAATGGTGCAAGGACTCGTCATTTACGGCCAGTTGTACTATGGTCCATTCTATTTCTTGTCCGTCAAGGGCTACAGTCCGGTCCATACTGGCTTGGCCCTCTTTCCAGTCATGTTTACCCTTGTGCCTGGCTCGGTCATTGTCGGCAACCTCGTCACCCGGACCAATAATTATCAGTACCCAATCTGGATCGGTTGGCTCATGGCGGCATTAGGATCCGGGCTCATGATCAAGTTTGACTTGGACACTTCCATCGCACAATGGGCTATTCCACTTGTGGTTCTGGGTCTCGGTCATGGTGCAATACTAAACGCACAAAACTTTGCTACCCAGGCAATGTGCAAGCCCGGGGAAGAAGGCGCTGCTGCCGCCATGTACGGATTCATGCGCCAATTCGGCATGGCACTCGGCGTTGGCGTCGGGGGTTCAGCCTTTCAAAATGTCATGGCTCTCAAACTCTCATGGGAGGGTCTGCCCGAGGACATTGCCAAGAACTCCGAGGCCTATGTCGATCGCCTGTGGGCCCTACCTGATGAGCAAATGAGAACCCGAATCCTGAACGCATATGTATTTGGATTCAAGGGCGTATACAGTGTCTACTTTGGTATCGCTACAGTGGCGCTGTTGGTCAGTCTGGTGGGAATCAAGCATTATGATATGAACAAGGAGGTTGCAACAGATCACAAACTACACCGAAATCGGTTCACCAAACGTTTGGAAGCGAGTTCACGACGTACATCGGTGGTCAACTTGATCCAAAGGGCAGAGGATGCCGATCGACCTTCGCCTTAAGGAACGTAATAATTTGGTGATATGGAAGTGGGAAATGGTAAAAGGACAATAGTTCAGAATTATATGAAATTGAATGCTAATATGGGCGCTTGCAAAGCAAATCTAATTCTCTGTTGATCAAATCGGAGGACTTTTCTCTAATAAGCTGCCCGTTCGTTTGAATCTGGATGATGCACCTCTAAATACTGTGAATTCCCCGAACAAATAGCAAATAATTATCCCAAAAAGAGAGAAAGAAAAATGGTTCACCGATGTTCAAATAGAGTAATCGAATAGTGTTGTACAGCGAAAGAAAAGCAAAGAGGATTCTGTACTGATTGGAGTTCCAAGTCTTCTCAAACGTTGGCAGCCTTGATACATCGAGCTCCATCGTTTGATGATGACTTTGGACCATTGGAGATCTTGACTGCGGTTGTTGTATTTGAGTTGGGTAACGGAAATCTCCAAATCTCACCACTGTTGTTCTCTGAGCCATAGAGGAACCCATCATCCGAGGCATAAACGGCGCCCCAGGCATTGGCACTAGCGTTCTGGGTACTGGCTATCTGACCAAAGTTTGTCAATCTGGTCCATGTGTGATTTGTTCTGTCGAATCGCATCAGGTATGTCTGACCCTGGGCCAGGCCCTGGGAGCTATCGAATCCAAGTCCCCACAATGCATCACCACCACCCGGAACGTATGCCCAGTCAATAATGTTGTAGGGAGGAGTTGCTGTGCCTGTATTGATCTGCCTACCAAAGTTTGCAGAGTTTGGCCGCAGGTCGACTTCTACCCACAGGCTTCCAGCTTGCGATCCCCAGTAAATGGCGTTCTCGTCAACGTCGCCGCAGTTGAGGGAGCCTGTGATGTTGAAAGAAGATAGCAGTGTGGTATCACCATTGGCGGCGATGCGAACCAGTCTTGCTGTGGTGCCGATAGATGCGTACAAATAGTTGTCTGCGTAATTGTAACCCATTGCGTTGATGCTGCCAACACCATTCCCAACACCACCCTTTACCAGTGTAGACGCTCCTGTGGTGATATTGATTCGGTAGAGCGATGTTGTTTGAATCAGGTACCCACTAGGATCGCACTCAAGTGTTGGGCCTGCGCTTGAACTTGTGGAGGTGGACGACGTTGATGTGGACGACGATGTTGAGCTTGAAGAACGTGTACTTGTTGAAGAGGTGCTACTTGAGGAGCTGCTTGTAGATGTTGTGGACCTCGAAGAACTTGATGATGAAGTGATGCTAGAAGAACTGAGGGAAGAGCTTGTGGTGCTGGTCGTGCTTGAAGGCGAGCTTGAAGACGAGGTCGTAATAGATGAGGATGTACTCGTCATAAAGGTTAACGTACTGGACGATGTAGTTGAAGTACTAGTACTGTCGCTTGAAGAAGAGCTAGATGAGGTACTCGTGGTAGTTGAGGTAGACGAGGAGGTTGAACTGGTTTCAATGACTGATGATGTAGAGGAGCTTGATGAGGTTGTTTCGGTGCTAGAAATCGTTGACGAGCTTGTTGAGTCGGTCGAAGATGTTTCGGTGGCTGACGTAGTAGATGATGTCGTCACCTCCGATGAACTAGTCGACGTGCTCAAGCTACTGGAGGAAAGAGTGGTGAGACTAACCGAGCTAGAAGAAGTCGTTGATGAGGCTGTAACTTCTGTAGTCTCTGATGTTGATGTGGTTGTCGACGATGAGCTCGAAGTCAAATCTGACGTTGATGGCAAAGATGATGAGCTTGAGGATGTAGTTGTCAAATCAGTTACAGTCGACGTCTCAGCCTCTGATGTACTGCTGGAAGACGTTGTGCTTGTAGATATCGGATCACTTGGTGTTAATGTAGAGGTATCCTGGATAGACGTGCCAGTATCAGTCGATGTCGGTTCTGTAGTTGATGATATCACAGATGCAGACGAATCTGTGACATCTGTGCTCGAGCTTGATGATGCATCCGTAGCAGAAGAGTCTGTAGTAAAAGAGTCTGTAATAGAAGTATCGGTAATAGTAGGCTCTATAGAAGAGGGAGACTCTGTAGCTGAAGAAACCTCCGTAGTTGGAGAATCCGTGGTGGAAAGGTCTGTAGTAGAAGGCTCTGTAGTAGAAGGTTCTGTAGTAGAAGGTTCTGTAGTAGAAGGCTCTGTAGAAGAGGATTCTGTAGAAGGGAAAGACTCTACAGCTGTAGAGGGCTCCGTAGTTGGAGTGTCCGTGGTGGAAAGATTTGTAATAGAGAAGCCCGCAGAGGAAGGTTCCGTAGATGAAGTTTCCGAAGAACTTGAGTCGGAGACTGATGTGATTGCTGTAATCTCCACATTCGAGATGGTTGTGACAGCTGCCTCGGAGGTGGAGGTAGAGTTAGTTGGCTCTGATGACGTACTTGTCGCCGAGGCCGACATAGTGCTTGTATCAGATACTGATGACGTCGAACTAGTCGATGTAATTATGCTGCTCACTGTGGTCGATTCCAGCATACTTGTAGTAGAAGTGTCTGTTGATAATTCGCTGGACGTTGCTGATGATCTCTGTGTGTCACTCATTGAACCATTCTGAGTGGTACTTGGCGCTATCGAAGTCTGACTACTCGTAGTGATAGGTACAGCATTGCTAACACTACTCGAATCTGACGTGGCAGTGCTCGTCGGGGAGCCCATCTCACTCGACTTTGAGCTTGATGGAGAAGTTGCACTAGTAACGATGGTAATGACAATGGTGGGAGGAATGCTGCCCCTTTGTGGTATAGTCGACGTCCCTGCCGTATTTCCCAAAGTCGTGCTTGTGATTGTTACCAGGGTGATGATTATACGTGGGGGAATGCTCCCGTTCTGTGGGACCGTCAAAGTCCCACCTGACACACCTGCCGTGTAAATAGTATCTGTTGTTTCAGTTATCACGATCTTTGGTGGAATATTCCCTCTTTGTGGGATAACGAAAGTGCCCGCACTACTACCCGCTGTGTAAACTGTATCGGTGGTCTGAGTAATGATAATGGTTGGTGGGATGCTTCCGCTCTGTGGAACTGTAAAGGTCCCGCCAATACTACCTGCTGTGTAAATTGTGTAGGTTATCTGCGTAATGATGATTGTTGGCGGAATGCTCCCATTTTGAGGAATAGTTGAGGTTCCTGGCGATTCACCGGCCGTATAGACTACTTCGATTGTTTCAGTAATCACTACTGTTGGTGGTTGACTTCCAATCCTCAAGACGGTAGATGTCCCTGCTTGGCTCCCAATAGTGTACACGGTAGCAACTGTCTGAGTTATCACCACAGTTGGCGGCATGGTGCCACTTTGTGAAATAGTAAGAGTACCTGCAACATTGCCATTTGTAAAGATCGTGTCAGTTGTCTGAGTAATGATCAGAGACGGTGGCGCGACACCGTTTCGTGAGACGGTGAAAGTTCCAGCCTGACTACCTGCAGTATAGACCGTATTGGTGGTCTGGGTGATAACTAGTGTTGGCGGCATACTACCATTCTGCGGAATAGTAAGGGTTCCGGCGACGTTTCCATCCGTATGAATTGTGTCGAATATTTGTGTTACAATTACAGTTGGAGGGATACTGCCGTTTCGTGGCACGGTAAAGATCCCACCCTGGCTGCCAGCAGTGTATATCGTATCGATGATCTGTGTGATAACCAGGGTCGGTGGAAAGCTACCACTTTGCAAAACGGTTAATGTCCCAGCTAAAGTACCATCTGTGTAAACAATATCTGTGGTTTGGGTGATGATTATAGTTGGTGGGATGCTGCCACTTTGCAGGACAGTAGATGTACCAGCCTTTACGCCGGCAGTATAGAGTGTTGACGCTACCTGAGTAATGATTATAACATCAGGTGTCGATCCGGTGCCCAGAGCTGTAGAGATCCCCAAAACAGATCCTGTCGTAAAGCTCAGAGATGCAACTTTTGTTACAATGGCAGTCGGTGGCATATCCCCGGTCTGCGCGACGATAGAGGTCCCAGCCATATCGCCTGTTGTATAGACTGTGTCCGTCGTTTGTGTTATGATAATGGTTGGCGGAATGCTACCATTTTGCGGCACGGTATAGCTGCCAGCTTGGCTGCCAGCGGTGTAGATGGTGACAGGAGTTTCCGTTATTATAATGGTATCGGGTACTGAGCCTGTACCACTGTGGATGCTTGTCCCAGGAACAGATCCAGAGGTGTAGATGAATACCGCGACTTTCGTTATGATTACAGCTGGCGGAATGCTCCCACTCTGTGGGATGGTTAGCGAACCAGCCAGGCTTCCAGCCGTAAAGACTGTAATCGGAGTTTGTGTAATGATTATGGTATCAGGAATCGACCCTGTACCGCTTCGAGTGCTTGTTCCGGCCACAGGTCCAGAGGTATAGCTGAAAACTGGGACTTTTGTTATCACAATCGTTGGGGGAATGCTACCGTTTTGGGGTATAGTAAAAGTACCAGATGAACTACCACCAGTGTAGATAGTCAACGGGACTTCGGTAATGATGATTAAATCAGGCATAGATCCCGCTCCGGTCAGCGTCTTTGTACCAGAAACTGGTCCCAAAGTGTAGCTGAGTACTGGCACCTTTGTAATAATCACGGTATCATCTTCCGACCCTGTCCCAACTACCGTGCTTGTACCAGATATTGGTCCATTAACATATGTAGTGTCTTGCCCGTGGACTAAAGTGATGATCACTACTCCAGGTACTGATCCTGTCCCCGGAATAGATGATGTGCCATCGGTACGACCATAGGTTGTTGAATATACAGTACTGGGGGCGACTATTGGGGAAGATACCAAGGTACTGCTTGAACTTGAGAGGAAGCTACTTGCCAAAAGACTTGATGGCAAAATACCTGTAATCGAGTTTGCGGAGCGTGGAGGGGACGCTGATACTGTTGTAGATGGTTCTCTGCTGGTAGTTGACGTTGAATTCGTCCTAGGGGATACGGTCGTGATTATAACCGTATTGAGAGATGCCCCAGAACTTCCCACGGTGCTCGTTCCCGGAACGGGTCCTTCAACAAAACTAGTGATTTCCTCGGGTTCCAGAGTGATAATAACTGTTGCCGCATTGGATCCACTGGCTCCCACGGTCGAGGAGCCTTGAATTGGACCATATACGGTAGTCAAAATGGTCGCGAGCACAGAGGTGATAACAATGGTTTCGGGAATGCTTCCATTCTGCGAAATCGTAAAAGTGCCTGACGATGGTCCTAACACCACACTGGTCACGGGAACCACTGTCACAACTACGACATTGGTCGCGCCAGTGCCTGTACTGGTACTTGTTCCTCCAGTTGGTCCAGGAATGTAATTGGTACTTTCCGCTGGAAATAATATGATGATCACTGTTCCGGGCTCGGTCAATGTACCTCGAGTCGGTCCAAATTTTGTCACAGTCACTAGATTTGAAGATTCGCTTGTCGATGAAACAGAAGTGCTGATAAACGGGATGCTGCTGGGAAATGTTGAAGAACTCGTGGGTGTTGATCTAGGCGAGGAGCGTGTGGGCACAGTGGAGCCAGGCGACGTGCTGGAGCTTGTGGTCACGATAGTAGTATCGTTGCTGCTCAGAAGGGTCGAAGATCTCAGGATTGGCTGTGACGATGACGAAGTGCTCATGACCGTGTGGCTAGTACCAGAAGAGCTGGTGCTCGAAGTTGTGGCCGTAGTGCTACTGCTAGTACTGCTACTACTTCCACTGCTAATGCTGTTGGTACTGCTAGAGTTACTGGTACCACTAGTACTGCTGGTATTGCTCGTGCTATTCGTGCTGCTTATGCTGCTGGTATTGCGGGTATTGCTTGTGCTGCTCGTGCTGCTGATACTGCTGATACTGCTGGTACTGCTGGTACTGCTGGTACTTCTGGTGCTGCTGGTGCTGCTGGTGCTGCTTGTGCTGCTGGTGCTGCTTG